CCAATGGCAGAAAAGTCTGTGGAGGCAGAGAGCTGATGACGCCCAGCTTCGGACGGATCTCCTCGCCTGCAAAGGGCTGCTGCGGCCTGGTACTGGGCCCTTGCAACTGTAGATTAGCTGTGGTTTCCGGTGCGGTCACCTTTCCTCAAACCATAAGAGCCCCACTTGATAGGGAGGGTTGTGGGGGTGGAACACCCTAAACCCGTTCAAGGTCTGAAATTTGGGGAGGGAGGGCGTGCACTGCAGCTCATGCGCCGACCCCAACCACTTCATGGAGGGGTCGGAATCAAACTCGCAGCGAAAACCCGCTACCCTAAAACCTATTCCCTAATCCCTGCAGGTGCGCCCGCGCCCGCCTGAATCCAGCACCACGCCTTCGCAGCGGTCACTGCCCAGGAAACCCGTGACCTGCGAGGCTCGTGGGCAACTTCTGGGTTTCAAAGCTTCAAAATGATGAACGGTGGTCCAGCAATCTCTGGATCTGTGTCTCACCTAAAGAACTGCCCATCTTGTAGAACAGGTGCAGTGCTGTGCCCCGCGATGCCTCTACGTTTGTGCGGACGGAAGAGCCGAGCTTTTCGAGAAGCTGCTTCCTCGGGCTGTGCGGGCCAGGGTCCCTGACAACATAGGCACTGTTCATGAGGGCTCATGTGGGGCTACAGGATACTCGAACCCACTTCACATCAGCTTGCTAACTTGTTTTGCGAAGAGGTTATCCAATCGCACGATTTACACCGTGCGGGACTACAGTCTATTCTTCTCAAGAACCCCGGATAGCTAGACTACGAAGCAGTAAGGAAGCCTTCACGAAGACCCGATTGGTCAGTCGAAACGGATCTGGCTATCTGGCACAGAAGTCCCGTGCTCGGAGAATGTGGTTGAATCGAGCTCTGATTTGACTGCCTCGTCGCAACTGTTTGTACTGTTTGTCCCAGTCGCGCAGGGGCAAGCAGCTCGCCCAAGCCGCATCCCGAAAAGCCTAAGGCACGACTCGCCCTCACCAACAACATCAAGAAGAACAGCAGCAGTGATAGACTGAGATGGCAAGCATGCTCGCCTTCAACGTGGTTGTACTAGCACTGGAGTCTACAGTCTACAGACCAGACATGACTTGGTGAAACGAATTCAGCAAGACCGCGAGCCTTCGAGCCAAAGCAGAAAACAAGGCTCGCACCCTTTCCATCTGCAGGCCTAGCGGCCCATTTCCATGGAGGATCGGCCTACGAGGCGTCGAAAGAAGCGTACCAAGGCGGCGGCGGACACCTCCTGCGAACTTGCGTGGCTCAAAAGTGCCCCCAATAGCCCTTCTCACATTCGGCAACAAGCTGTGGCCATGCTGAGGCCTCGAATGTTAGCAAAGCCTGGACTCCTGGACAACATGCTGAAGAACCAGGATACAGTCCCGCAGCACGAGCGGTGCTGCTTTGCGACTGCTCAGCTTCCAAGTTACGTGACAGAGCCAAGCTCAGGCGGTATCATGTTCAAGCATGCGCTGCACACATGGACTTTAGCTTCGCACCTCCACTGGCACATTGAGAATGGCGTGCGACAGAAAACCCCAAAAGTGGGTGATGTAGTCCTGTCATGGCAATCAGAATTCAGCGCCCCACTGAAGACCAAGCAGCGCATGCACTCTTAGCATCCTTCAGAAATTTGAAAGAGACTCCCACCGTGGCCTCAGAGACGCCGAGACCTCTCAGAAAGTCGGCACCGGACTGTCCATCCTGAGACTTGGGGCTTTCGGGGCTTCGGGGCTTGGCGATTCTCGACGTGAGACCAATAAAAGGGCACAATAACCTCGAGTTCTCCACGAACCGGCCAATTTTTTCCGGCGTTGTAAGATACCTGAACAGATGGGACGTTAACTATGCGATCGCCCCTCCGACAAGTGTTCAAAAAGCATGCCGGCAAAGACTATTTCACACCCGAAACTTCGGGTAACTTCTTGGAACGCCTTCTGTCCTCAAAGAACTATTCCCTGGAACGCTTATCGGAATTCCCTTGCTCTCCGGAATTGGTTCTTCGCGCTTTTCGGCACGAGCCCGTGAGTCTGGGAGATGTATCTCTCGTTTGCCCTTGGGACAGATCCTGGCCCCCGTCCTCCGGAAGCACTTTGGAACCCCAGCACACTGTTACTGACGGACATGGCATACCATAGCATACTCCTGAAGATGAAGAAGAGACCACTGTTTCTTACTGCCGGAGGCAAACAGATTGTTGGACCAACATATAGTAACGGAGCAGTTTCCATTGGCATCGGCCATCTGGCACATCCCAAGCACCTTCTCTGGCTCGGACCCCTTCGAAAGTCCCAGCAAATGTGATGATCGTCTGATGGGGAGATAGTCAGAAGGAGAGACTTATAGATGTAGAGCACCGTGAGCCTCTTAAGACACGGCGTTGTGAGAGCCTTGGCCCCTACCCCAGTCCGCCTCGCAAAAAGCAGTTTGCTTCAACAGCAGGCCTTAGGGTACACCACCTTCAGATGTGACACCATACAATTGGTTCTTGTACCGCAGCAACAAACTTAATTACACAGAACAGCTGACAATGATGTCGGCCAGATTGAAACAGGCAATCTCGGTGCAGCTCCAGCGGCGAGCTTCAACAGCTCTGACTCGTCAAGGCTAAGGCAATGCCTCACTTCGCTGAAATCTGCCCTCTACTGATGGCACAATGACGAACCAAGCTGGAAGTTCGCCTGGTCATGAAGTGAAGAGCCGAAGACAGAGATGAAGCTCCTCACGAATTGCACGAACTGCATGGCCACGGCACACTGCTGCCGGTACCGTCGAGTGCTTGTCGGCCCAAGTAACGAACCTCGGAATATCACCCTGCAAGCATAGCAAAACGCTGTGCCACAGGGACTACGTCAACAACGGTGCAAGCAACCCAAGACTGCCAGACTCAGAGCCTAGGCTGCCTAACCCTGTGCTCGAATCCTCACGTTGCAGCTGAGGCACACAAAGTCGGCCACATGCTTACTCACACCCGCTACTCAAACACTCATTTGGTTCCCGAGCAGCTTTTCTTATAAACCGGGTAGACTCAAACGGTTAAGATAAGTTTATGTTCCAGATGCCCGGCTCATGAAGGGCTGGGGTACCAAAGCTTTAGGCTGCTCTGCTCGCATGTCGCATATGGGAAGCGCAATCCTGCAAGTGCGGAGCACAAGCCCTCCAAGAACAAGGTTTCAAGGTTCAGTGGACAAGCTATTGTAACGTTCACAGCAAGACTCGCGCCAGCATGCAGAATTTGCTTTATCTCATAGAAAGCGTGAAGTTCCCAACTGTCAACTCGTAGCTCGTCCCACGACAAAGCCGCATGCCAAATGCCACTCCGAGCTCAGCAGCTCAGCTTCCGAAGCCGAGGGGCGGGTCCAAGATGGAAGCTGGACCCCACGAGGCTGGGGCAGGCAGAGGCTGTGTCCTGGGACAGCTCAGAGTGCGTTACATCGCTACAAAGACTCTCTAGCTCTTCCTCCCAGAGCTTCCGCTGTCCTGATGTGGTAGTCTTCCTTGCCCTGCACGAAGGTCACGAAGTGGCGCCAGGGCTGCCAAACGATCCTGGCAAGCCGAGAGGCCGGGGTAGGAGGGCTGTAGGTAACTGCTTGAGGTGTTGAACATATGGATGCCAAAGCCAGGGCTTGAAGCTTGAATTGTTCCTAGTTTTGTCGCAGGACGACTCTAATTAGCGTGCCTTTGTGAAAACTGCTAATGGAAGTTTGCTCAGGCCAGTGACCGATTGGAAGATGGCTTTATCTCGAAAGAACACTGCCACAAGTTCTTTATCTACCGACGCCCAACATCACCTTTGCCCTGCGTGGGCGACGAGTGGCTTGTCCAGTGTCTGCAGCTTCTCCAACAGCTTGAAGAAGTTAGAGTACTCTGACACCTCGGTCGACCGAAGGCTCCGCTTGCTGCCATGAATCCCCGGAGAGCCATGTCCAAGGTGCTACCACGTGAGGGCCGATGTGCACGGGATCGCGTGTGACCTTCGCAGCTCAACTGTGTAGCCATGCTTACAAGCCCAAGTGCTGGAAACAGAGTCTAGGAACATGTTAACGCTGGGCGGGCCGAATACCATACCTTCTGAACAAACGGTAGAAAACAAGCCTGCAGCTTGTCTGGGCGAGCTGGAACACTGAACCCGTAGCCACCCGAACTGCGAAGCGGAATGCCCAAGCCCATGAAGACTCAACAAGAGACTTAGATTGTTTCATGCTAGGCCGCGCCATCCACCCAGCTGCGCGCCCGCCCTCCAAGGATGGATCGGCTCTCAAGGACAAGAACCTTCAGCCCCTCCTCCGCCAAAGTCACCTCCAATGCGACTTCATGCTTCGGTAACCCCGGAAAGCCAGAATTTGTAGGGTCTTTCTGAGGGTTTCACACAGGGTTCGGGTGTGCATGCTCGGTCCGAGGAACTGAATCACACAACGAAGCCCAACAGTTCGAAACCGGCCACAATTCGACTGAGAAGCTGCGGCTGCCAACCCGGCAACGCCCGCGCCAACGATGGCGACATCAACTTCCGACATGAAAGTACAGCTAGTAAAGTGATTGTGACTGTGAATCCTTACTCTTTGCAGCCGACGACCGTAAGCGCAAGGTCTCGCAGGAGAGTTTGTGCATATTTAAAGTGGAAGCCAAAAAGTTGGAACATCGCTGTCCTCATGCCGTTAAGGTAAAGTATAGGGGATCCGAGCACTAATCATCCTAAATCCTTGTTGAAACTTTCCGGAATTCATTATATGGTGACTCCAACAGGCTCTGCCTGACAACCTCTGTTGTCCCAGGAAACGCAAACATTCGGGTTACCCGGTTACCCACTTATCAGCCTTCTACAGTGAAGACGAAGCGATGTGGTGGCTGCATGCGGAGTTGATTTGTTCTTTTTTCTTGCCTTGAGCATGTCTTCGAAGCTGAGGCCGGCAGACGTGGGGAGGCGTTCTCCTATGCTGCTTTTCCATTCCTCTGCTGATACAGGGCAAGGCTCCCCGCCTGGGCCTGCGGCGGTGCACCAGGCCTGAATCACATCGGCTTCAATTTCGTGACAGCAGGTGACTTTCAATCGCAAAATTGAAGGCAACGGCACACTATCTTGGATATCAAAACCATGACAAGCCTGCCAGTCTGAAAACTCGAAACGCCTCATGCCCAAAACTGCTCGAAATTCAAGCACACAGGCCCAAGCCCGCCGGCCACCGCGCCCTGGGCAGCGTGACAGCATGAGCACATGCCCTTGTGTCGTAGCTGCTGCTGTTGCTCTTGCTCTTGCTTCTGCTCTTGCTCCTGCAACCCCAATTCAAATCCGCACTAGACGGCATGGACATGGTGAGGCGGACTTTCCGGAATGTGCTCTGATTATCAGGGTAATGGGGCAGTGTTTGAAGCCATGGGTGGGCGGGGCGGGGGGGAGGGAGGAGTAATCAAATACGTACATGCAATTATATGCATATACACATGCATGTGTGTATACATATGTATACATACATACGCACAAACTCAACCAGACACCCATACACATGTACATACGCATAGATATGTACATCCATAAAAACAAGGAAAAGCAAGACACACATACATAGAGTTCTATGTATATATTATATACCTATAAGTACGTGACCACCAATCAATATCGGTTTACAAAATACAATCAAGACAAATAAGCAAAACAATATATTTCAACAAACACACCTATGTCTCCCTTACAGGGAGAGATAGAAGCGGTACCTTGGTCTTTATCAAGGCGATTCTGACCGGAATCGGGTGTTTACCATAAGGTAAGGGGGTTAGGTTGAAATTTGAGGGCCCCGCGCCCGGCATAGGTGTATTAATTTCGTAAGTCTTAAGTGCCGTGCCATTCGTCAGTTATTTGGGTGACAGGGTTGGAGTTTGACTGCATTGAACTCGGCTTGCAAGCGTAAGGCTCCATGCCCAGTGGTTCGACCATACTAACTAATCAGCATCGCAACATATCACACATCATCATCTTCATTAATATGTTCGCGGAGCATTGCAACAGCATCGTGAGAAATGTGGATGCAATCATGCCGAAGTGTAGCTCGACATCATGGGGAAATCATCAAGAGAGACGTCTCTTGAAACGAGGTGTCGGCAAGACGTCGATTGTGCTGGTATCGGCAAAGGCGGTTAGTTCGACTGCACTCGTGGAAGGGAGCGAAGAAGGGCAAGAGGAGGCCTCATGATGGCCACACATGCTGCAATATACGAGCTTATAGCTCATGCCACAGATGTTCCGTTCTACAAGGTCATACCATATACTCGTGCGCCTCGACTAAAGCGTAGACAGCAAGAAGAGCAAAGAGCAAACGTGGCCGGTCGGAGAAATGCGCCAAGCGCCTAGGGACGTCTCAAATGTTTGGCCGTATTTAAGAGCCGAACAATAGGTAATTTAGTAGGGTTGTAACAAAAAAAGCAACAGGAAGGCTTTCTTGGAGCAGGTGGGAAACGCAAGGACATCTGGACTTTGTAGCAACTCATAGGGAAAAGGGGGGGCGTCTTGAATCCTGCACCCGCCTACACATACATGTAAGTATATTCTGGATAAAGAAAAATGAATGAACGAACCAACGAAACAGTAGCTAGATGAATCACTGATAAGATAGATAAATAGATGGATGCTTGCATGCACACATGCACACACACACACATATATATATATATATTTTTTTTTAGCACTCACACTCGACAATGCAGGCGAGGCTTCAGTACACAATACGGTCACCATCCAAAGCTCATTGGCTCCATCACTCAGAAACCTTCCAAAGCACATTGGCCTCGAAACCCAGCCCTACGCCAAGGCACAGGGACAGGCAGACAATCCTATCAAGCGCACCCCGAAACTAAACAAAATCCTGCACAGCCACGCTCACTCGCTCACTCACACCCTAAAAAAGCGCACCACCATCTCCTTCTACCGATGTTCCCAATATATATATATATATATATATATATATATCGGATCGAGTTTTGGGCCGCCCGGCCCTGACATAGCCTAGACCCCAGTCAGCTTGCACGACCTTCCCAGGAGTGGGAGGAGCCGGAGTTCCCATCATACTTGGCATAAAAGGAGCCAGAGAGCTAGTGCTGGCCCCGGCAAGACAGTCGGAGAAGCCTGGAAACATCGGATTAGTGAACTGCGTTCAGAAGCTGGTCACGGCTGCAAGGAAACCAGAGGTCCGCACAAGAAAGCTGACGCAAGAAAGGGACCAAGCGGACAAGCGATGGAACAAGTTCCAGGAGGACCTCTGCAACAGGTTCCAGAAGGAGAGGGAGTGCTACAAGGCGGACATCAACCGCCTGGACCGGGAGTTGGTTACCTCTCAGGAGTCCCAGCGACAGGCATTCCAAGAGCTGCAAGAAACCTTTGCCAACCCCGAGACGCTCCTCAGAGGACCGATGCAGGCGAAGAACGACAAATAGGCCGACGAGGCTTGGGATGCCCTCCTCTCCACGTGGGGAGAAAGCGACGAAGAAATGTCGGAGGAGATGGCGGGGTGAAGACCAAGATGAAGATGCTCCTGAAGGGAGAAGAAACACCGGTGCGAAGGAGACGAGAGGCCACATATGCCTCTCCGGGACCGTCGCGCCCTGCACCGGCCTCGGAGCGCAAGGTCCCTGCCACACCGGGCAAGGCGAGAACCAGAGTGCGGACAGAGGCGAACAGCAGACCCAGAAGCCGTGAAGGAAAAGGGACGCACACCAGCTCCGTCCACCCCTGAGGGACCGACTTTGGGGCAGAAGCTGGAAGAGGGCGGCGATCGAGGTCGACGCACAGCGAGCTGGCGGACATCAACAAGCTGATCCTGGTTGTGGCGGTCCATGCAAAGGGAGCTGAGATGCAAGAAAGCACAATGACAGTGATGAAAGCAGTGAATACTTGAGAGGTTGAGGCTGGAAGTAATTAGTTGCAGTCCTGATGGAGACCAAGAAGTCAAGCTCGGCCAATGGTGGCACTGTGGAACAGAAATCAGGCGAGAAGGTGCAGAGTGGCCCTGACCTACGTGAACCCCTCCGGCCAGTTGATCGGTTGTGGTACCGTGGAGCAGAAATCAGACGATTGGAAGCGGAGTGGCCCTCTTGACTTGCCCAGGAAGTCGGCAAGGCTGTCTTCCTGAAGTTCGTCAAGGCAGGGATCGAGGGCACCGAATAGGTTTGGTGCTCGCTTGGCAACTCACTGCGTGGTGTCATCCGTTTCGCCCTGATCGGACACATGAAGCAACAATTGAGATGGGAGAGGCCTTTTAGCATGGGACACAAAGGCAAGCGAAGCTTGCGTGGATGGGTCAGGATATTGGTGGTCGCCAGCACCTTGCAACCCAGTTTGGCGATGAGAATTGGCAGGGCAGCTGCAGAACGGAGTGCTCAATCATGGAGAGTGCTAACGGACCTTGAAGCCATCTTCTCGTACGTCTATGCCCGTGCGTTGGGAACCCTGGTCGAACGTGCTGACGGAGAAAGCCTGCTGACCTACTTGAACCATGATGTATCCAGGGGAGTCTTTGGAGGAGCAGGTGCAGAGGCTTCCATAGCTCGGGATGGAACATGGGCTGATGACTCTGCGATACCTTTGAATCTCAAGCAGGGCAAAACGACGGTTGTTCTTTGCCTACAAGGTCGAGGTTCGTCAACAAGCTTCCCATACGAGTAAAGGCCAGGCTGCACTGTACCTCCAAGACTTGAAAACTACTGTTCCCTTTGCGCTGCAGTACATCCACCTTGGAGGGATGATAAATGCCAAGCTGAATTTCAAGGCTGAGAACAGGAGGCTGGCCTTGCTTGGGTCAGCCTTTGACCAGGGCAAGCGATTGCTCTTCGAGAGCCGCACCATACCGTTGCCTACGAGGGTCCAAAGGTTTGAATGTGGAGCTCGTGCTGTCCTCTTCAACCTCTCGATTTGGGTGATTTAGAGGCATGGCAGCAGCTCCATGGGGATACTCCCGCTGCCTACGGCGTCTCTTCGCTGCGGATGTGAAGGGCGACAGGCTGTTCATGCCTCTGCCGGCGGTCCACATTGTCACGGACGGTTGGAGTTTGGATTTGGTTGCGAGAAGGAGCAGGCTGAGCCATTTGTGTGCTTCCGTCAGTAATTGGCCAGACATCCTGTGGGCAGTGCTACAGTGGGAGGAGAAGTGGTTGGAGTGTGTGCGAGCTCCGCAGCTTTGGTCGCAAGTGGACCCAGCGTCATGGGGCCAGTGGGCCGAGCAAATCCGAGAGAGTCCACTCCTTTTCAAGCTACCGAATCGCTAGCCGAGCTGTTGCAAGACTTTGAGAGCCCTCCAAGGGCTGGGCTTGCCGCATGTGCAGGCGATCGTTCAAGTCGAAAGGAAGCATGGGGGTGCATCGTTTTAAGGTGCACGGACGAAAAGCGGCCTACCACTCCTTTGTGCAAGGGAGCCTTTGCCAAGCTTGTGGAGTACAGTTCTGGACAGGTCCCAGGCTTGCGGTACACCTGGGAGACACATCAGGTTGTCTGAAAGTACTTCGAGCCAAAGGATTGAGAGCCCCAGAGGTTTGCCCAGGTCTGCGGAGTCAAGATTGGAGGCAAAAGGAGTTGGAGCAGTATACTCAGTACACCCCGTCGCCGACGATGCAGGTCCCACCGCCAGCTAACGAGAAGGGCGAGGAAGCTTGGTGCGACGAGGCCAAGGCTGCGTACAAGGAACTTTGCTTGGTCCTCTTTGATGCCGGGACATGGGAAAATGTTGAGCAGGTGGTAACTACCATGGTTACAGTTTTTGACAAGCACCCCCTGTAGAGGAGTGGGAGATCTGTGAGTTCATCAAGTCTGAGGTAAGCTCCCTGCAACAGGCTGATGGCCATGAGATATGGACACACAGTACTGCTATGATTGTGCTGACGAGGTGGTTGTCGTTGCATAGGGACCCGCCTCGACGAGATCACTATTGAAAGCCGTACAGCAAATGTGGACCTCTTGCGAGAGCACGAGTGTCGGATCCATGTGGATGCCGCACAGCCTCGTGATCATTGTATCTGTTTCTTCACCTTTGAAGCATAGAACGGAATCCATTGTGGATCCCACACAAATCGCCTAGAGAGAACATCGTGCTCGAGCGATTCTCTGGAGAGATGCACCGGTGCAGCCTGCTTGACACAGTGTTTGAGCTCATCCCACGAGTGGCCAACTTGATGGCAGATTCCGCATCTGATCTCTTTTCCACCACGCCCTACAGCTCGCCCTTTTGCACTTTGGACGGCCCCTGTGACGAGGCAGAACCCCACGTTGCGATGCAAGCGTGCTTTCTTCCGAACGTTGGTGCATCTATGCTCATCGTACGGTGGAATCACTTCACCTTGCAGCTCATGCCTATTACTGCTGGTCAACTTGCCGTAATGTAGTCGGCGCCAAGATTCCCGTAACATGTGTCCCACATGATGCGCTTCGGTGCTCAGATTGAAGAAGCCGCAATCCATATGTCGCCAACCAGTTCCCTCCACTGTCCAACCAAGCTCAAAAAGGGCATCGCGGACCAAGGACCGCAGCGTAAGGAAGTCCAAATTGAAATCGAGCACTCTCGCCCACTTGGTGGTGCGCCGAAGCAGGTTGACAGCCCTCCAAACGTAAGCAGCGCTCCACTGGGTGGAAGCCCCCCGCCAATCAACGATCTCAGATGAGCTACCGCGTAGTTCAACTTACCCGCCATTTGCCAGAGCTTCTTGTCATACTGCATGACCTCATGTTTCGAAGGTGGCGCCGAGATCGCTCCGTACAACACTTTAGAAAGTGCGAAGACTTTGGAGCCCGCTAATCTGCCCCAAATGCCCCTGGGCAGATGCCCAATCCTATCCAAGCTGTGCATCGCTTCCTGTAGGCGATTTTGAGCTCGAAGTTGTTTGTCAGGCGCAACATGATTGTGCTGACGACACTGGTGCCCCCTGCAGCTCCAGAAGAACAAGAGACGAGTCTCAGCAACACAAGCTTTGCCGAGCTGTATATTGATTGGGAAGACGGGAGACCCATGTGCAGAGATGTCGGCAATGTCCCAGCCGCGATTTCGGACCCGAGTGTTTTCATCCCGGAGCAGCTGATCTCAGCATGGGAGAAAAGAAGTGGCAAAGTACAGACCGTCACGGCTCCCGGCTGCTGTTGGGATTTGCCCATTGCGGCGCCTTTTGCTGTGCTGCGGGCTTCGGCAGGTAATGAGTGCTGCATACAGCTCTGAACGCCTCGAAATGAAATGAAATGAAATGACATGAAATGAAATGAAATGCAGTATTGAGCAGTTATACAGATGTGTATGTGTGTATACACATATATACACACACGTACATACACACATCCATCCATCCATCCATCCATCCATCCATCCATCCATCCAGCAAGCCAAGCCAACTCATCCATACGTATGTAATGCAGTGTAATGTGTAAGTGTATGTGCTGCAAACCGCATGGCTGCAGCGCATATTCGCTTTGATCTAGCAGCTTCGAACACATGAATGAACACGACTACAAAACACATTCAATATCTCGCATGCGAAGTCCAACCAGCATCGAGTGCATCCTCAGACACGCGTCGAACCTCCGACTTCAGCGCTGCAAGCATGTCATAGCACCACGTAAGTGATGCAAGGGATGCAGATCATCATGACATAACGGCGAAGACTTGCCACACATTCAAACACTGACCTCCTGCGTATTCCTAATCAGACTCTAACTCCAAAATCCTCTGTCTCGAAAAACATTTGGCATGCGATGCGCTTGCGCATAAGTCCGGCACCTCTGGCATTCCGAAGTCCCGCGGCTCCTGCAATCAGAGGTCTGGACCAAACCCTCAAAGTCTCGGGGCCGCTGCAGGATTGCAGAGCCCTCTGTTTTGCACGCGCAAAGAAGCTTGTAAAAAGTATGATGATCGACATTGACGCGCTTCATGGACGTTGTATTTTGGCATCCTCGGAAAGCCTCTCACAATGAGGTCTGCTGTCTAAGAGTTGGGGATTTGCACACATAGAGGAATGAGGAAGCCGTGTTCTCGGAACCACCCGCGCTTGTCATGGTCCCCTCGTCGAGGACATGTCAAAAGCAACGTAGGCAGCGACCAAGAACATACAACGTCGTTGAAAGAAAACGCGTTGACGATCCTTTAAGCAGGCGGCTGGGCATGGCTCCTCTGCTTCTGGTGGGGGAGCTATGCTGAATTAACATCTCTATGGTGTCATGGAGCCTTGTGGCGCCAGAACCTAAGCACTGCTGTACATCGAAAAAGACCCCCCAAACTCGCCTTTGCAAGTACAAGGATCATTGAGATTATGCAAGAGGCCGGTGTCTGCATCTCTTGCGTGGTTCTGCACTCGGCTTGTGCTGCCATAAACGGCCAATGATGGCCGGAGAACTTGTCATGCACATCGTCATGGGTCCTTCGGAATTCCACTTTTCGGAAGTCCGGCCCGTCGAACAGTGAATTTCTATCCCTCCTTAAATTTGTATTTTTTGTGCTGTAGTTCAGGGCGTAAGGCTGTGACGATGTCGGTTAGCCTTCCGGATCACCTCAGCTTTCAATGCAACCACAACTGCATTGATCTCGGAAACTACAAAACCGCGCAAAGCCTCGGTCCAGGGGGCCATCGCGGACGAAAACGCAAATTCGCACGGCGCTGCTGCGTGCTGCATTTTCCAGAGAGTACGCAAAGTACGTAAGGCGTAAGGCTGTTCGTAAGGCTTGTTCTTGTCCCTATCGTCCCATGCTGGATTTTCGTATGTTCACATCATAGGTAATTGTCGGGTCGACGCCACGTGTCCCAAGGAAACAGGAAAGCTGCGCTTGCAGCTTGCCGGACAGACGTGTCCGTCTGGCAGAAGCGAGCTGTTCGTTGGCCTATGTTAGCTTGAAGTTTCCTTCCACATGAGCAGATCCCAGGCAATCTTGTCTTGTCTGCCGTGTCTTCTTGCCATGATATCGTTGGCCATCTCTTTCTAGATCCTCGTGGTCCAAAAGAGGACGGATCGACGGTTCAAGTCCATCGAACTTCCACGGAGCGGAGTCCAAAGCCTGAAGACCTTACAGAAAAAAAGGGGCCAGTGGCCAAGAGGGCTGGGCCCCGCCCTGAGCCGGGTCGCCTTCAGGCGTGCGTAACGAAGGCCAGGCCCAGGATGCCTGCGGCAACGAACCTCGGGTCACATCGCCACAAGGAAGCATCGAAGCTTGAAAGTATAGGGTTTAGGGTTTAGGGTTTAGGGCCATATGACCAATGTGCATTCAGTTTGCGCTTCACGACTGACGGACAGTCGGTCCTTTTTCCTCCCGATTAAGGAATCGGAAGTGTTTAGGGCCCGGTGAGAGAGGGCCCCCGCCCCCCGGAGTGCACCCCTTCTTGGAACGGAGTGAGTTGAAAGGCTTGCCGTTCCCCCTGGTCGCTGTGCTGCCTGTAGGTCCAATACAACTTCGAACTACTGCAAGGCTAGGACCGCCTAATAGTCTTAGTGAATGGCCAATGTAATCTTCATGCGTATCTGGTGGTCACCGGTCTCCATACCAACGTTTTAGAGAGAGCGCTCGGCTAAAGTTTCAAGCGTGCTCGGAAACCACCGCCAGCACCACAAAGAACTCGCGGAGTTCTCTCCCATCCTCCGCCACGGACCTCAGGGCATTGCTGGACTCCTGCCTCGAGGGCGGAGGTTGCCCCTATGCAGATTTGTCTGCCCCCCTTTTGATGTCACTTTCCCGTCAGTTGTCATGGTCCAGGAGCTGGATCTTCTTCTCCTATAGTGCATATGCTGGGCGCCTATCCCCACCCTTCTTCGGCTTGCTGCGCTTCCCGTTCAGTATCCAGGCTGTCCGGCCGGCTGGCCCACCAGTTGCTTTAACACGCTTTGTTCCGAAAGTAGCCATTAGGAAGGCTTCTTCCTTTTGACTAAAAAGTGGTCTCGCACGTTCCTTCCAGTCTGATATGCGTGGATGTCCAGATGCTTCCTCCAGAAGTGCAGGAGCTACCGTCCCCCCAATGCCAGACATAGTCAGCTTCAGCCCAAAAGCCCAGGCAACCCGCAAAACCCCGGCGATGAAGACGTTGGTTGCTGTTGGGCTCCAGATCTCGCCTCTAAGGAGTCTAGAGAGTTTGCATGTAAGACTTTGTCTCAGCTGAGGAGCGCTGACCACAAACCAATCCTCGGACAGTTGCTGCCAACATCCTGCTACATCAAACCGAAAAACCAAAACATGTACGAGAAAGGCCGAGCATCAGTGCAGCGAAACAGACTGGGATACTGGAGGTGATGCCCTCATCCATGCCATAGAAATCCTATGCAGGTTGGATGCTGTCCGACACGAGCTAGATCAGTAAAGAACCGGCTGTTGCCTGACAGAATCTAAATGAAGGTGCAGGCGTGGCGAAGAAGCTCACTTGTCGAAAGAACCCTGCTGCATTGCAGATGACAAGGCTCAATCACGTTGACCAGCTCCCCATCTTTGTAATAGTAAAGCGATTCACCACCTGGGACATACACATGCCATGCACAATGCCGAAACGATGTTACGCCTGATGAAAGCATGCAGCCACGGTAGGTACTGTGCACTCTTGAGCGTGGAATGGCAATACTTCCTTGCGGCTGTTGCGAAACAAGGCCGCATGACCCAGCCTGGATGATCTTGAAAGTGGTTCAGCATCAGCAGTGCCCAGGCATACTTCATGAAAGACACTGCTGAGTAGCACTGCCACGGGTATGCCATGTTCCTGAGGATTAAATCGGGAAGCGGAATGCCGCGCTCGGCGAGGCAAGATCAGCGTGGTTTTTCATGTGCAAACCTCGCCCAGCACCCCTTCTGTTTCAAGGCCCTCGGGAGGTTTGCGTTTGCAGTCCGGCGCGTGGAAACCTATAAGCCTTCAGTCACAGTTACAGGTACCCAAATAGCCCCTGCCCTCACTACTGTACTCCCGCAGTTCCTTGCTGCGATGCTCGTACATACCGGAAACCTGGCAAAACTTGAGTAACAGCTAAAGGCGCTCGCACACGATGAAGAAGCCACAAACGCAGGCTGTGGATGCCAAGTAAGCAGGGAGCGTTGCATTCGCAATCTCCATGTTCGGAGCAATTGCTGCAATGGCATAGGCGACTACAATGCCTGCTGAAACGCTCGGACACGAAGTCATAAGCCTTATAAACCCTTTCGGCATGACAATTCCTCTTGGGAGCTCTGCCAAGCTCATGAAGGTCCTTTGAAGCTTTCAACAAGGCTCCTATAAAATATGCGCGAGTCTCGAGGTCTCAGGCTTGCAATCGAAAACGAGGCGCCTATGAAGTTGGTAGTGTAGAGCGTTGCGGCAAAGACCCAGAAGGAGCCGCGCAGGTCCAGGGCCGAGTACAGCGCCAGGCTGAAAAGGAAGATAATCACAATGCTCATCACTGCCTGGGAAGCTCGAGTCTGTTTGAGGGTGTTCGGGATGGTCGGGTCAAGAAACCAAACAGGATGTTGTCCACTTGGGAAGGGGAATGGCTGTAGGGCACGAACTGATTTCCAATCTGCAACGACCAAGTTGGTACGCAAATAGCAGTGCTATGTATGTATATATATATATATATATCTGTATTTATTTGTATATATATACACATAAAACATGTATGTAAAATTCGATACATATTTTATATGCACACACGCACACGGCCGCACACACGCGCCCAAAGACAAACAGACAGACAGACAGACAGACAGACACACACACACACACACACTCACACATTCATGTATTCTCTCACAGCTCGGGCTTGCCAGATGAGGTCTCTCCATGCGCGGTCTGCGTCTCTGCTGTATGCACGTATACGTACGCTATATGTATATATGTATAATATATGTATATGTATATATATATACACATGTAAAAATAAATAGATAAGTGTATAGTGTATATATATATATATATATTTCTTTGTACACCTGTGTGTGTCTGTATATAGAGATGTAGATAGACAGATAGGTTGATAGATATTGCTAACGAGTTCAAGCAACTTCTGTTGTCTCTGTTTGGTCTATTGAGGCGACCTTATACTCATCGTGCCAGAGATCTCTCTTTTGGTAGATTTCTTGCCCACAAACATTAGGAGGCCCTTGCATTGCCGGGAGACGCATGGGGGAACGTGAAAATAAATGCAAAACAGCAACACTTGGCCTTCGGATATTCAATTTGTCTGTAGCCCTTACAGCATCGGATGCGGACTGCAATGAAAAAACAGGGGTCAAGAAGCCCGTTGTATCCCTGGACGTGCCTCCTCAATCAGTTTCGCGACGTAGTAGGTCACGCTGTTGTAGAGTCCGTCAGCGCGCTCGCGGTAGAAAAGCGCACGCTCCAGGACCAAAGCGGGAAGGAAACTAGTGGCCGTGAACCCACACATTGCCACCAGAAAAAAGAAAATCCCACACGTGGACCTTGCAACCGGCACACTCATGTCTCAGCACTCGAACTGTGTGGAAGCGAGGAAGAGGAGACGTCACCACAAGTACAAAGGAGACGTGTCAAGCACTCACAGACCGTGAGCACCACTCCCACAAATCTATGTTCCGACCCCTTTCAGCCAGGCCCACTGGACGCTGGCCAACTCCGTCTCGGCACCAATCTCCCAGTAAAGGCTTACGAAAACCTCAGCTGGATCTCTACACCCCCTGCATGCCGCTGACAGAAGCGCACATCAGGCTGGCCTTAGTAAACCTAACATGCAGGATAATGCGCTTGCCATCGGACTGACAAGGAGCAACTGCCAGGCCGATCTTGTCCCCAAATCGGGCTGCCAGGAAATGCGGATCGCGGTAACGAGACC